TTCTTGGACCAGAAGTCCAAGAATTTTTTTTTATTTGGAGATATTTGCATTTAGCTGAGCTGTCTTGGGAATGAGACCAAAGCCTAAACATAAAACTCATTTGTTACATTTACACCTTATACCCAAAGGTAGTTTTATACAATATTTTAGTAACTTTTTGTATACCAAATCATCAGAAAACAAAGGTGCCACTATCTTAGCCACAAATTGTATGTGGATAATCTGGTTGATTGACATCATTCCTGATTCTGAATCTATATGCAATTGACAAGCAACCACTTTTTATACTTATTTTCACAAAAGTACTTCACAGTCAAAAATTTCCCATACTTCTGGTTGCAGATGGTTCACACCTGTAATTCTTGCTAGTCAGGAGGTTGAGATTTGGAGGATCACAGCTTGAGACCAACCCAGTCAGATGTTTTGTTGGTCTCCATTTTCAAAACTAACCAGCAAAATAGGTGGCCTAGAAGCATGGCTCAAATGGTAGAGCACCAGTCTAACAAGTATGAGGCCTTGAGTTCAAACGCCAATATAACCATATATATCTATATCTATATATACATGTCATATGTTTGATGCACTGAAAAAGTAATGTGTTGAATATTTGTTCAAAATGTGTTGAACAAAGCAGCACAATAGCATCACTGGAATACCTGTTATCAGCTATTTACCAACAATAACAATAAACACTATAACTTGTCTCATGAGGTTATAGATAGAAATCTTCACTTGTGTCATGTTAATGTTCAAAGAGTTTCAAATCTTGGAGCATTTTGGATTTTCAGATTAGGGATGTTCAACATATATTACAAAAGCAAGCTGAAAACACAAAAAAGAGCTGCTGGTTCTAATTTGTTTTTAAAGAAGTTACTTTTATAAAGTTTTAATTGCTTAGGACTTTTATTCTTTGCACTCTGTACTTCCTGAGGGATGGTGAGCTGAGGAAAGATTGCCTTAATTTCTTGAAAGTCCAGAGAGGAGCTTTAGACATATTCCCTAACATCAACAATTCCTCATTATCAGTTAGAAGGACTGAACTTTGGCATTGTCTTACTTTTTACTTTTCCTTTTGGTGGTACTTGGATTTAAATTCAAGGCCCTGCAGTTACTAGGCAGATTCTACACCACTGAAATCATACCTCCAGCCCAGGACTTCAGCATTTTCTTGTCTTCTGTGGCAGTCTTGAACTCAGGGCCTGGGCACTATCCCTGCCTGAGGTTTTTTTGCTCACGGCTAGCACTCTATCACTTGAGCATAGGTCCATTTCTGGCTTTCCTGGTTAACTGGAGATAAGAGGCTCAGAGTCTTTCCTTCCTAGGCCGGCTTCGAACCACAATCCTCAGATCTCAGCCTGTTGAGCAGCTAGGATTACAGGTGTTAGCCACCCCAACTGGCATTTTCTTTTTTTCTTGGTTGTGGGGCCTGAAGGCTGTCCCTCAGCTCTTCAGCTCAAGGCTAGTGCTCTATCACTTGAGCCACAGCACCACTTCCAGCTTTTTCTGTTTATGTGGTGCTGAGAATCGAACCCAGGGCCTCATGCATGCAAGGCAAGCACTCTACCACTGAGCCACCTTCCCAGCTCCTGGCATTTTCTAACTGTAGCATAGAAACCTCAGCAGGAGACTTGCTTATTTACGGCACAGCATATAGGGAAGGGAAGAACAAGTTCTCTATGTGTGATACCTGAAGCTTTTCAGCTCCCTTGGCCCTTTGCAAGTAGTGTTCAGTTTGTTGGCAGTAGAATGTCATGTTTTTTCTTTTTTTGTCAGTTGTGAGTCTTGAACACTGGGCCTGAGCACTCATTGTCTCTGAGCCCTTCAGCTCATGGCAAGTGCTCTACCACTTGAGCCACAGCACCACTTCCAGTTTTCTGGTGGTTAATTGGAGAGAAGAGTCTCATGGACTTTCCTGTCCAGGCTCTGAACCGTGATCCTCAAATCTCAGCCTCCTGAGTAGCTAGAATTACAGGTGTGAGCCACTGGTGCCTGGCTAGAATGTGATTTCTGTACATAGTTCTTGAGAATCCATGCCTTAGATCCTGATCTGAGTGATGGAAGAAAGCACTGAAACTCTCCCCTGTCCAAAGAACACAAGAGCAAGTAGATTCGCCTTGTAAGTCACCCCACAGCCAATTCCATGGTCCCTGTTAAAAGCATCTCCCCAAAAGGTCAGGATTTTCCATGTATTTTAAATCAGTTTCACCTAATCTGTCTCTTATCAGTGTAGGAGGCCCATGCTGGGCACCTGGTTAGTGAGCTTACTCAGCATCTGCTCTCATTTATGTAGCAAGTGTAAACACAAACGAGCCCAAATGAAGTTATATACCCACCACCCTAATTTGAAGCATTGGAAAAAAACTGGAGGCAACTGCTTCAATATTTCCAACTTCCATGTTCTTGCTTCTGGGTTCAATGAGACTGTGAAGTCATGGTTGATAAAGCCAAGCTCTGCTGCCTGACTGACAAACCCTTGAGAGAAAGAAAACCATCCAAATGAAAATGTTCTAGAATGACTGGCAATGGTTGCGCAGCTTTGTAAATATTTTAAAGACCATTGAATTGCATACTTTGAAGAGGGAGAATTTCATGGTATATAAATTATACCTCAAGGGCTGGGAAGATGGCTCAGTGGTAGAGCGCTTGCCTTGCATGCCTGAGGCCCTGGGTTCGATTCCTCAACACCACATAAGCAAAAAGAAAAAAGCCAGAAGTGGTGCTGTGGCTCAAGTGGTAGAGCGCTAGCCTTGAGCTGAAGAGCTGAGGGACAGTGCCCAGGCCCAGAGTTCAGGCCCCACGACTGGACCCAAAAATAAATAAATAAATAAATAAATAAATTATACCTCAAGTATTTTTGAAGGTATCACTGAGGGGAGCAGACTTTTTTTTTTCATTTTATTAAGCATGCTAAAGACTAGGATTCCCTGTTGGCAGGTCCTCGCGTTGTCCCTATAAACAATGATGCCGTTCCTGGTGGTAGAACAACCTGTCCACCACCATTGGAGGCACCAAGGCTGAGGCCCTGCAGTCAGAGCCAGCTAGGCCAACTTCTAACTCTGTGTCCTTGAGGGCATTAATCTTCTGTCTACCTCACAGCATACAGAAGCCTTGGAAATATCTTACACAACTTCATGTCATATCTGGCTTCCCTGAAAATAAGGGCCAACATTCTTATTTTAATCTTGCTGAAATTCCAAAATGTTATGTGAAATGGGTGACACCAAGTTTACCTGGTTAACTGTGTTGGCTTATTTACAAATCTTTTGCCTCAATGTTTGTACAGAAGCAAAGACGAAGAAAGGCACAACAACTTAGCTGTTACTCAAAGCTTCAAAGTGCATCATATTCACGGGACAGGCCATCACTTAAGCTTAGCTCCAAAGCTGGCTCCATTTTACAAAAGCAGAGGGATTTGGAATTCATTTGACGGGGAAAGGGACACCCATGCAGGAATTGGGGGAGTGCTCCCACAATTCCACAAGCTTTGGAGAAACCTGGTTTTGTTTCAGCACAGTTCTTCACCGAGCTAGCTACAGGAAACAAACAGAGACAAAACACTAGCAGGCCATCAGACTCTTCAATGAAAATGTATTTCACACTGAACAGAATGTACACATCATGCATTTGAAATGAGGCATCACCACAGTCACAATGACACTATGAGATGTAACAGATCACAACAAAACAGACATCTAGCCAAAGAAAGCCGCAACAAAGATGGCCAGGCATTTTCACAAATCAGACCATGCTATCATTTTCGGTGTGCTTGTCAGAAAAGGGATTCCCCAGTATTCATCAAGATCAATTACACTGCATTATTAGAGGCATGTATTTTATTTAGTATATACACATACACAAACATACAGTTTCCATAGCTAATAAAGTCTTAAACTGTAGCTGGCTTTAAAAGCGAGTGGACAAGATTACTACTGAAAGTTCTTTATATTTCCTGGTGGTCAACCTTTCTTTCCAAATCCTTTATGGTATAAGTCAAAACAAATGTCTCAAACAAGAAAAGGTCATTTTGATTTGAAAGCCACATTTAACGCAAGAAATTAATTTAAGGAAACAGCAATATATGGAATAAAATGCATGGAATTTTCATCCTAGTGGCATTCTTCCCAGATTTTTTTTAATGTTAAAGTCTGTTAAAAAGATGTGCCAGGACCAATTTGAGGCCTCCTTGTTTCAGAGCACTGTGACTTTTATGACAGTTGAGAAAGCACAGGAATAATCAAAGAAAGAAAACCCCCAAGATCTAAGAGCAAAAACCATAGCAAAACCATGAAAATCAACCACCTGCATGTGAGATACATAACTCCTTCAGTTGGAAGGCCACTTGTGGAGATTGTTAAGGTATGACAAGAAAATGTCCTGGCTAGATTGAGTTGCTCAGGGACATAAAAATATGAGTAAGAGAAAAGAAATAATTACTCATTGTTTAGTTCTTCCTTGTCCAACCAAACTTACAACTTTAACCCCCAACTGCCAAAACAGTAACGTGGTTAATGCATTTGCAGGTGGCAAAGCTTAATAATAATAATAATAATAATAAAAGGATTTCCTGACATTACTTTCCAACAGAGAAACCCTAGAGGGAGAGAAACTGCTGAATTTCTTCTCCATCTAAACCAAGACAGGGAGATACACAGCTGAAGTCAAGTACATGTTTAACCAGAGTTCTGGTCATGTAGAGAGTATTTAATAGGAAGAGATATCTAAATGTTTTTGTGCTCCAACTCTGAGAATGAGAGCGGTCATGGGTGAAGTTCTGAGCCAGCAGCACTCAGGTCGACAGGCTCACCATGAAACTAGAGAAAGAAAGGAAATGCTCTAGCAGCAGCAGAAGCTCAGAACTAGAACTGTAGAATGTAACTTCACTAAAGCCCAGTAAGACCAAAGTCTGGAGGTTTCTACCAAGAGGCCAGTGTTTGACATACTACCTAGGAATATAGTTACATTCCAATCTAATATTTTGGAATGTGGCTACAGAAGCTCCATCAGGTGGCCAGCAGCTCAGATTGGACTCCCAGCAGCGTCCCGGGTGCTCCAAACTCCACCTGTGGCAAAAACAAAATCACATGAGACCAATACAGAAACCAGTATCTTGTACTTGGTAATTGCATTTTCCTTGGCTCATAGATTAGTCCTCATCAACAGAAGTACTTCAGTTTTTTGTACAGGATCTTTATATGAGGTGGGTCCAATTTTCCTGGTGTGAGAATTTTCTAACACCTGCAGATGTCCCCATTCCTGTGCTTGTTTTTTTTTAACCTTTGAGCAAAGGAGAGCCCTACTTAATCTGGAAAGGTTGAACATACTGCTTCAGGAGGGATGCACATGGAATAGGAGAAGACAGCAACATCTTACTGGCCAGTCAGAGTCTCCTTTACTCAAACCTATAGATAATTTCATGTCACAGATCTGACTGAATGTCCTCAGGCATTGTGATATTTTAAAAAAATGCTGGGCTAAGAATGTGGCTCAGTGGTAGAGTACTTGCCTCGCATGTATGAGGCCCTGAGTTCGATCCCTTAGCATCACATAAACAGAAAAAGCTGGAAGTGGAGCTGTGGCTCAAGTGGTAGGGTGCTCACCTTGAGCTGAAGAGCTGAGGGACAGTGCTCAGGCCCAGAGTTCAAGCCCCACGACTGACAAAAACAAACGAACAAAAAACACCAAATGCTCCCTAGTGAGGGTTGCACCACCTCTTGTTCAGAAGGATTTGAGAACTAGTCTTTTTATTTTTGCCAGTCCTGGGGCTTGAACTCAGGTCCTGGGCACTGTCCCTGAGCTTCTTTTGCTCAAGGTTAGCACTCTACCATTTGAGCCACAGCACCACTTCTGGCTTTTTCTGTTTATGTAGTACTGAGGAATCCAACACAGGGCTTCATGCATGCTAGGCAAGCACTCTACCACTAGGACACATTCCCAGCCCTGAGAATTAGTCTTTATCATACATGAAAATATATAAACAAAGTTGGGCACGGTCGACTCATTCCTGTAATCCTAGCTACTCTGGAGGCTGAGATCTGAGAACCATGGTTCAAAGGCTGCTTGGGCAGAAAAGCCCCTGAGCCTCTATCATCAATTATCCAGAAAAAAAGCTGGACTGGAGGCATGATCAAGTGGTATAATGCCAGCCATGAAAGGAAAAAGCCAAGCAAGAGTGCTAGTCTCATAGGCTGGAAATGTGGCTTGGTAGTAGAGTGCTTGCCTAGCATGCATGAAGCCCTAAGTTCGATTCCTTAGTACCACATACACAGAAAGAGCCAGAAGTGGTGCTGTGCCTCAAGTGGTGGAGTGCTAGCCTTGAGCAAAAGCAGATCAGGGACAGTGCCCAGGCCCCGAGTTCAAGCCCCAGCACTGGCAAAAAGGAAAAAAAAAGAGTTCTAGGCCCTGAGTACTGACATCAATATATGTATACATGTAGTGTGTGTGCACGCGTATGCACATATATGAACACTTGTGTGCTAGCTTAAGGACTTGAACGCGAGGCCTGGGCACCATTCTTGAGTTTTGTGCTCAAGGTCAGTGCTCTACTACTTTGAGCCACAGCATAATTTCTGGCTTTTTGGTAATTAATTGCCGATAAGAGTCACACGGACTTCCCTGCCCAGGCTAGCTTCAAATGGCGATCCTCAGATCTCAGTCTCCTGAGTAGCTAGGATGACAAGCGTGAGCCACCGGCGCCCAGCAGGTTAGTGTTTGTAAATGTCCAAGAAAGCAGCTGCTTTATCAAACTAGGTATCTGGTTTACTGTACAAGTGACCTGTTAGACCTTTCCACTCACATGTTAATGCACTACAGGTGCTTTCTTGAAATCTGAGAGAAAGAAACCCTAAAACTTACCTATGGACAAAAGCTGAGGCCTGGTGGAAATACATATACAAACCACAGAAAGCTTAGCTATGCAGCATTTCCAACCTGTTACCTCACTTGAGAAATAAAGAGGTTGGACTAAATCATTTTAGGCATCACATTTCTATAAGAGGAATGCAGAATCATAAAAACTAAAGTGACAGAGAATGCCAAGAATATAAAAAAGGTTTTCCTAAGAGTCTAAAATGGCAGGAGTAATTGGATGTATTCATTTCTTGAAGGATTTGGTGAAAGATTATAATTATGTTTTCATTATTCAAAAATCAAGTGCCAAACTGAAGTAGATCAAATGTGAATTGCTAAGCACACGTAACTACAGACTCCCCATGGACTTCCCCTAGTTATAACACATAGATATTCTCACTCATATAACAGGGCTGGGGTGTAGTTAAGGGTCTATAGAGTGTAAGTTTTACATGTGCAAGCCCAGTGTGTGTGTGTGTGTGTGTGTGTGTATGGCAGGGGGGAGGGAGAGGCAGGGGGGAGGCAGAACATATAACAGGTGAGGGAAAAAGGAAGCAGAGAAAACAAATGCTTTGGCAAGAAAAACATTAGGTCAGCTGGGCACTTGGCTTATGTCTATAATCTTAGCTACTCAGGAGGCTGAGATCCGAAGGTCATGCTTTGAAGCTAGCCTGGGCAGAGATGTCTGTGAGACTCTTATCTCCAATTAGCCACCAAGAGCAGCCTGGAGTGGAGGTGTGGTTCAAGTGATAGAGTGCTAGCTTTTGGGCCTGAGTTTAAGCCCCAGTATCACAAACCAAAATAAAATAACACCACAATTAGCAAAAATCCAAGCTGGAAGAATGGTTGAAATAGGAGAACACCACTCAAGCAAGCTAGCCAAGCAACTGTTTGTTTTTAAGTGGTCATGGGGC